CCCCAAAACCCCAAAACCCCAAAACCCCAAAACCCCTAGTTTTGCATAATTAATTGAATTATTGATAATATTATGGCAGATTCTCCATTGGGTGCATACCAACCTCCTGTTGTGGAGGCTAACAGACCTCGGGAACAGGTCCCAAAGAAAGAAGATGATGAATTCAACTTGCTAGATATCGATTTCAACAACTACGATCAGAGCGAGAGCGATGTCAACCTTGATAGTTCACTTTCTGATAAAAAGCAAGATAATCCAGTGATAGCAGATGAAGATATTCAGCCTGATAATGGGAAGTTTGGGGATAGGCCACATGGTGACCAGGAAGAGGATATTAATATGAATCAGCCAAGCGATAGCTTGATCAACCCTAACCGACAGAATATGGCAGATATGGAAGCAAACGAGCCTAAAATAGTTGAGAATAGATCATTGTTGAGGTACTTCACCGTAGAATATTATAAGGAATACTTTGATGTCACTACTCAAGAGGTCGTATCGAGACTGATCAGATCATGAATTCCTCTCTATCCAGGCTCTATTTATGATAATGGGAAAGTGGATTTATACGGCCCAATCTGGATTGTCATCAGTCTCAACATTGCAATCACTATCTTCGGCAATATTGCCAGATATGTGAGCTTTGACTCTAAAGACGAAGATGTGAAGTACACTTCACACCTTGAAGGCTTAGTCAAGAGCGTACCTGTGATTACTCTGTACTTTGTGTGAATGCCAGCTTTCTTGAACATATTTTTGAATTTTACAGGGGTGCAGTATGTGGGGAAAATAACGTTTAAGCTGGTCTCAATATACGGATATAGTTTTGCTTCATTCATTCCAGCTATTTTCTTGTACATGGCTTCTGCACCAGTACTCCCTCACAAAGCATTTAACAGTTTTGAATGGCTGATCTTATTCGCAGCTGGATTTATTAGTCTATTCTTTATGTTCAAGGAGATGGTCCAGGTCTTGAGGAACAATATTGAAGAAGTCAAAGTTGCAGCTGCAGTTGTTTGATTAGGCCATTTAATACTGATTCTCATGATGAAGTGGAAGTTCCTCAGTTAAATCATGTTGAATAATGGGTTTCAATCTCAACTGTTTTCTTAGGGGTTTTGGGGTTTTGGGGTTTTGGGGTTTTGGGG